ATATATTTCACACCCCATTAAACACCATTCCTACAAAACTTCCTAACCGACTTTTCGAGGATCCCCCGAAATAATCGACACCCCCCTAACACCTAATCCAACGTTCTATAAGTATGTTTAAGTGACCACTTGCATTTATTCAAGCCCGATAGATCGCAAGCCACTTTTCCCTTGACCGTTCCCCTACACTGGGTGTATAGGTGACTACTCTATAGATAGCAGACCTCCATGGGAAAACTAATGGACAATGCCTGTCTGTATTATGATACTAACAACACCACCAGACCACCCCTCCACACCACACCACACCACACCACACCACACCGACACAGAGTCTATGTACGCATGCAGGGCTACGGCAAATTTTAGTTTAATTGTTAATGACTTGTATTATCAACATTGAGATGAAATATTAAATAGCCCACGATGTTCAATACAAATGGGTCACGGTGACGTCACGTCGCACCGTATTATTTTGGTTGAATGACCCTTTTACTTAAATCATTTGTCTCGTTAGATTAGATTTGACCGGAGCAAAATCCCTTAATCGAAATTTTCATGAATCCACAGCAATATATACCTTACATTGTATTGGGGTTACGTGAAAATAAAATAGTTCAAGTCAATGTTGAAGTTGAACTTCATTGTCGTGGCTCCATCATAAGGTATGACTAATTTCATTTCAGTAATTTAGCTTCATTTAAGTTATAGCCCTCACCCAAGATCTCACCTGTTTTGACTGTCTACTCAAGTTGTTGGATTGTTGATTGATATATAAAACTAGATAATCTGAGTCTGATAGTGTTTCTACGTTTGTAGAGCAGTGCTACAAGACGCTGTCACAAGACATAACATATTATTGCTATGGAGCTGGGTTATTTCATTTACTACAAGGGGTTGCAGCTTCAAAGTAAACAAGCTACGATTGATATTTGTATTTTTAATCAGTAACACTATTTTAAAAATGCTTTTTTATGATTATATTATTATTATTATTTCAATATTAAAGTGTAACAAATCAATGCTAAATATGTGATATTGGTGTTATTGAATATATTAAACAAAAGGAATTATACATATATGTGTTGAGGGCGCTATGTTTGGCAGCAGATGTAGAAAGCGAAACATTAAAAACGCCGTTATATTGAAATAATAAATCAATAACGGTAAAGTCAGTCTATTATATAGTGTATCTGTGAACATTCTTCATTTGCATATTACTGTACACATATTCGTTGATATTTACACGTATTTTATCCGTCTGTATTTATTTATTTGTTTTGTTTAATTAAATATAATACATTCATTCATTCATTCATTAATTAAAACTTCTGCTCTAGAAATGCGCGGTAAATGTCGGCCAAACGAGTTCAGAAATCGCTTTTGTATAACTTAATTTATTCGATGTAACATTTGGTCGATTATCGTACGTTATAGGCAAATTACTTGTTGTTTATTTTGCTATTCAACCCTGGTAAATGACGTCACGGTGGTATTTTCTAGACGAGTGTCTCAATTGCTTATGATTTCACTATGAACCGTGTTGACGGCAAAACGTGTATTTAAATTATATATGTCTTAATAAAGATTAGTTGTGATAACTACTACTGTGTTATATATCAGACAATATTGTTATTTCTTGGTTGAAATGAGATACGTAAATAGTTACATGTTTTTATTTTAATTTCTGGAGATCATCCTGTTTTGTTTTGTTTTTTGGAAATTTAATTTATATTGTGAGCATATCATGATAAAGTACAATTCATCTTCTATATCATTCTGTGTACATTGTCAACAAATTCTATTTTCAGTAGGTATTTTTGGTTGTGCATGTCTTCCCTTTTCTATTGCTAACTATAAATTCTAATAACTAGTTCTAAATGTTGTCATTGAATTTCTTTGTTCATATCCAAGTAGTTTTCAAAATTATAAGAATCTTTAAATTAAGTGCCCAGTTTTGTTTTTTTCAGTTATATTTTTCTCCCGAAATTTATGTTTGATAACTTTGCTAATTCGCTTTATAATTTTGTTGACAAATCATTCTGTTGTTCTAATCTAATGAAAAGTGCATTCAATTTATAATTTCTTGCATTGAAGAAAACCATCACAAATTGGATTTATTTTGTTCAAGATATGCATGTTTTGTGATATACGTAAGGAGATGTTTGTCATTCCTAGTTGGAGGAGTTTTGTTGAGTCGTCAAATGCAAAGGCGGCAATGAAAAGCTGGAAAAACCTCCGACTTGTAGCAAAGTTTCAAAAAGGTCAATGAAAGCGTGCACATGACAAGGAACGTGATATGTTGATTTTGCACAGATGGTTGATGTAAATGATTCCGATAAGTCGCTTTACTTGGCTCATAATATACTGGGGAATAATACAATCACACATTCAATCGAAATGCTCGGCTTGCATAAAAGTAGTAGTGTTTCCGGAATAAACGCAGGGAGGGCTGGAGTGTACTTTTAAAATGTGTTTTAAAAGTAACTCCCAGTAAGCGCGTGATGGCGCCCTTTAATAAACGTATATCGAATACAGTCAAAGTGGTGCTCATGACCAGTATACTCCGTTCCAAACACACCTCGCTGTCATTTACTGTTGTCGAAGACGAAAAACATATACACAGTCGACTACATTTTTATCTGTTAATAACAATTTTAAAATCGAACTAAACGTCAATATTAAGATCTCTAAGTAGTGTGATTATAATTTAAAATACACTTGGTCGCAATTAGGTCATCTCAAACTGAAGTTGTCAAATCTCAAATAGTTAAATTTCGGACTTTCGTATAATTCTAGAATATTTCAAAACATGTTTATATGCTACACAATATTTGACCGTCATTTACTATGGATTTATAAAGATAGCAGTTTTAATGTTTCCAAGACTACAGTTTGTCAATGATACACTCAAACTCAAGCATAAATCAAACAAACACAAATCGATTTGAACAAAAGGGTAAACAAATCCGTTAACTGACGCGCCCGCCTTATATTTATATAAGTGTTCAAATCCAAATTTAAAATATTGAGAAATACCTATTTCTCATTATACCATTTTTGATTTGTTAATTTAGTATTGGAACTTTTTTTATTTATAACCATCAATTGAAACGCACATATCGGTAAAAAGTAGTAAAAACCTGATCCATACCCAACGTGTCCAACCGTTGTATATATATGACCTAAATATTGTCATTTGATATTGAAAACAAGTGTATCTGTTGTTTTTATTATTCTCTGTTTATTTAGTTGTCTCCTAATTTGTCACTGAGGGCGCTTGTGGTTTGCCGAACTGACAAGGATCGATGACCTGTGTTTCTACAGTTACTGGGCAACGGGACGGCAACTTGTACGTCTCAGTCATGTCACTGCGTTGGATAAGAACTGATTTTCTGATAGACTGGAATATCTGTGATTTTTTAAACGGGACGGCAACTTGTACGTCTCAGTCATGTCACTGCGTCGGGTAAGAACCGATTTTCTGATAGACTGAAATATCTGTGATTTTTTAAATGGGACGGCAACTTGTACGTCTCAGTCATGTCACTGCGTCGGGTAAGAACCGATTTTCTGATAGACTGAAATATCTGTGATTTTTTATTTTCATTCATTAGTTGTATAGGAGTTTGAACTGTGTTTTTTTCTGGTGAGAACATAAACAAATCAAACTTGTTATGTTGATCTAATTAATATGCAAATATTTGTAATAATTAATTCCTACACTAATTTGAACCCATAAATAATAGTTATGAATTTCATCACAACCAGATAAACATTTTTTTTTTTAATTTGACATTAAACATGCCATGCATGGCACAGTCCTCATTTAGTTATCAAATTTAAGATGTATAGTTTTGTTTATAGTATTATAGTTGGAAAATAAACGATATGGATCTAGAAGCTGATGCTTGATTATGATTTTTTTAATATTAATATGGTTGAAATTCGCTCATCTTGTATCTGATCATTAAACATCTGGAACAGCATTAATTAAAACAAAACAGCAACTGGGCAGCATTTTAAATACATCTGTATATCCATGACGTGATGCATAATGAATATATAAATTTTTAAAATAGTCAGTCAAAGTATGACAGAGATATGGCTCTAGAATCGCATTCATTAAAACAAAATGGCCACCAGTCGGCCATTTTAAATCCAATCTGAAAAACAAAATGATGTGCATCAAGGTCATATTAATGTCAAATGTATATACCAACTTCAAGTTTGAACAAAATCACTCTGTAAACAGCCGAGATCTGGTTCTGGAATGTCCAGAAATGCTTGACTTTGATGATTTTTCAGTACAGAAATAGCCTCCAATCGACCATCTTGAATCAGATTGTGAAACAAATTGATGTGTATATGTATAATATTATTTAAGATGTATGTGTGAAGTTTGAATGGTCTGAACAGAAAATACAAAGAAATTTTCAGATTACCAGTATATATTTATATATAAATTATCCTGAGAATACTAATAATAGACTAGTGAATACTTGAGTGCACTGGGAAGGACACTCTGAATGGCTGGATTCAAGGCTAACATGACCCTATTTGGTGGATAACTTCATCAGTACAAGGTAAGGTGAAATCTTTAAATTTTACAAGGTTCTATAACCCCCCCCCTAAAAAAAACTCAATGTGGTGCACGACTGACACTTTAAGAACCAACTGGTAGCAAATTTGATTAACAAAATATTGACCTAACAATTTGGCTAGGATTATGTTTCCTTTATTTTAGAGCTATTCTCAAGGAACTCAATTCTTAAAGTAGGATCAAAACAGAAAGTCAGAAAGACAAAAGATTTTTTCGTAGAGTGGGGAAAGTTGGTTAGCATGTTAATTAACAGGTGTTAATCTGAAAATTCATTGTCTATTCTTCTTTGTGATCGTCCTGGCAACGTTTGAGGGGAGATTGTGACGTAGCTCAGTCTTTGAGAGTAATCATTGTTAAAAATACATGCATCACAGTAATACTAGAAACACAAGAATTCTAAAATACTATATTTTTTATTTCAAACCCTATAAGCAGAAAACATCAAGTGATTCAACATTTTTCAAACACTTTGTAAAAATTGTATGATATTTAGATGTAAACCCTGTTTCTGAACCATAAAGCAACTAACATTTGTGTACAGCGTCTGCTGAATATGTCCCACCGTTCACTATACAGAAATTCTCTGCAATTTAGACAGAAGACAAATAAGAACACGCATACCAAAATGTCAGCATTCAACTAGACTGTTTTCTATAGTCAGCTGGTGTGTATATGCAATAGGCTTGCTTAGAAAGTGTACTTCCTTCTCAGCAAGCTAATTTTCAAGTATGAATGCCACTAAAGATGCACCAGTTAACTGTGGTTTCAGTGTTTGACTATTGAGTTTCAGTATTGCAATCAACACAATTGGTATATCCACAAATAACAGCCTTGTATTTCAACATGGGTTGCCAATGGATCTCTGATTTCACAAAATACAACACTGCCGATATCAAGTTACTTCAATAAACACCATTGAACTACAAAAACCATGAACAGACTAGTTTTCAGTTCCCTCAGGGTGTTACCTGGTTGCTATGTGACCGAGTGTGCTTGCAACTGAGAAGTCGATCTTATAAACAGTTTTCCTAGGTTGTCCCCCAGAATTATCTTACAGATGTATGGATGGATACCAAAATGTTATAAATTATCTTGTTACACTTCGTTGTATGCATGAAAAACTTGTTTGATCGACCCCTCCCCCCTTTTCACATCGTAGCTAAGCAACAAGGGTATCCAAAACTAGCCTTTTGGCCAGGAGTTCTTGGATTTTACACAATATAACAAACTTTAATGTTTAGAATTGCAGCAATTTACTGAACAAATCATTCAAGTTTTTTTGAAAAAATGATTTGATTGCGTGATTGATATAATAAAGCTAAAGCAAATGATAATTATTATCACACCAAAATACAATAGTTATGTGCACACATTTATTTCAGTATTTGAAAATCTGTTTTGTTTCTATAAAAAAACTTACTGTCTGTGTTGGCCACTGTGGAACTTCAATGTTAAAATAAAGCAACATTTAACAGAAATATAATTCTGGATTAAACTTATAAAATACTCACAAATGACAGACTCAAGACTGACAAGCTGAAACATACCAGTATGTAGTAAAGAGACAGAAATATATTGATATTCGGTAGTATTGCAGTTCAATTTTAAAAAAGAATTATTGATTTGAACTTGTTGAAAGCAAAGCAGACATTAGCAATGCATGACAAAGAATAGCTTAACTATGTTGCAACATAAACTGATGTACACAATTTTTTTTTTCAAGCAACCTGGAATAATCCCAACAACACATATCAATGTACTAAAATAAATTGCAATATGTAAAATAAGTGTTCACTAAGCCTATACACCTTTCACACAAACATGCAGTACTCTTTATATATTTTAAGTAAAAAAAAAAAATCAAGCAATTTACTTGTAATTGTGTTGTCTTTACAAAGAAAGTCAATGACCTGTATTCATAACTTGCATCATTACTGTTCAAGTTTCATTTTTACATGGATTTTTTTTTCACCGTTGCATTCAGATGAGCACAAATAGAATCTAGTGAAAATAATGTAGCTTCACCGAAATAAATGACAATAAATTTCATGAACACAACAGAAAGTCACTTTTCATAAAAATAAATCCCCGTGTTCAAAAATAAATTACTCTACAATATGAGACATGTATGTTAAACCATTGGTAGAATTATGGTTTCAACAGTTGAGAATTGTATGTAAAGATCCACCATAATTACGAGCTCACACCACACGGAAATCAACATCTTTGAATAGTCTTTCATTTACAAAAAAATATGTCAACAATTACACATCTGAAGCCTAGATTGATTTTTATTTTGTATTCAAAATTTTAAGCTTCTCACCCCTTATTTATTCAAATGGTTTGTTCCATTATTTTTCCTTACAGTAATTCTATTTTTCTACAATGTAAAAAAAAAAAATTTTTGGATCCAAGCAATTGGTTCTCAGATTATAGAGCTAATTAAAAACGATGACATGCTTAATTTAAAACAGCGCAAGGTGTCAGTTTTCCCCTATCATAAATGTATAGTTCCTTAACAATCCAAAATATTTCAATATGCACAACAAGTGTTTAAAATAGTACTGCATCTTTTGTTTGTCTAAAACACTGTCTTGCATTTGCATTCATTACACCAACCATTTATTCCTTTTAAACCCTTTCAATAAAATACCAATCATCCCCCTACCATTGGTATGAGTCCATAGTTTGCTGTTTTCTCATGATAAACCTATTATTATACATCTTTTTCCTGCTTGTAAGAATAATTTAATGGGATAAGAGCAGGAAATGTACAGCCTGATTGGCTACCAAGTCAGACCAATCAGAGAGTAGCATGTTTGTCAGGTTTAGTTGACATATCAAATTTTGCCACATGGTAGCAGAAACCATTCTGCAGAGACAGGATTCTATTTCTAATGCAGCCTTTCACATAATGATAAAATCAATTTTTCGGTGCGAGATGTATAATGCTGCTTATCATGGAGGATAGACAGGCCTAAGAAAAAACTGGTCCAACACATTGATTTACAATGGATGTTACCCTATTTTGCAGGCCAATAGTAAAGAAGATAAAGCTGATTGGATACATTATACAAATAGGTTAACAGAACAAATAATTATCAAATTTAAACAGGGCTTATGTATTTCAGTATGTTCATTTCAGTATGAATGTATTGAATGTAAATAACTAAAAACAGTGTTTGATATAAACAACTCTACATTCAGCTTTTGGTGAATCGTCTTGCCTTACTTATAAATTAAAACTACAAGATGGATCAAAATAATAAGACAATTCAAACTTCCCCTAAACATTGGTCATTGTAAGTAAAAATACACAAAATAGAAAAGATGTTGAACACAGATGATGTCCATCCGAATGACAATGTAACTGTTACAAGCTAGAAAGTACACTGGCATGTTTCCTTCAGCACACATCTGTGTAGTATTGTGGCTTAGATGTTTCTTCCAGATGGTGTCTTCACATTGAATGTCAAGGTCAATACGAAGGCTGCAGATTAAAAGAAAGGTGTCAGTTATTGTGATATTGTTGTTATTATAAGGCTATAATTATTCACCGTGTAATTTTGGAATAGGAATAATTTCCTATTGGTAAATTTGAACAAAATTCATGGATTAAACGATTGGAAGTATACTAAACTCTGCGTTGCTTATGAGATTACCATACATAGTGATGATGGATGGAAACCTAGCATCTAGAGAAATTGTTGGGCTTACCTGCAGCAGAGAAAATAGCACAGAGAATGAATAGACCCAGCCATCCAATCAAATCAGCTAAACTATTAGCCAAGAATGATCCAGTCAGGGCTGACATCATTGTTGCTGTAAACACTAATCCATAATTCATTCCAATATACTCTTCTCCAAAAGACCTGCAAACAAAAAGTACATTTTTATTCAAATACCTAGTATGCAAATTGAGTTTGAAATTGAGTGAAGATTGGAATTTTCTAATTTATAATAATCTGAAATGGTATGGTCTGAAAATAATTATGGGCAGTTGTCAGGCAGAAATTCTGTTTGAAGCAAACAATGTATTTTAAATGTGTTGTATACTTCGCATAAAACCCATATCAAACATGACATGGTCTGAAACCACTATTGAGTGGATTGAGAATTATTTTATGACAGGATTTACTGTATTGAAAAATGAAGTTTCAACCAAATTTCTTACCTTGCAGTAGCTGGTGGGAACAAAGCGAAATTACCAGAGAACGAGAGGAAGATACAACAAACCCAGATAAAGAACATAACCTGTCCACCATGCTCTGTCAGTATCAGTGTCAACATGAAAGCAGTATTCACGGCACAGATAATCAACATTGTTATCTGAGAAAAGAAAAGAAATGCTTTATAATTTTAACACTATTATAAGTAAGCGACTTAGCGCCCTCTACAGTTCTATTCCAAGAAAAATCGTAATATTCACCACATTTAACTAAGATTAGAAATCCATGCAAAAACAAAAACAAACAAATGTATATACATAAAAACATTACTGTAGTATGTCAAAAATAAGTAACTTTGGTAAAACACCAGTTTATATTGCCTGGGTCTGATGGACTTCCTAGAAAAGACGAAAATGTTTCAATCAACAGAATGAAATGAACATACCTTGTATGAGATCTTGTCAGCCAAATATCCCCACATGATACGTCCAAGGGCATTACATACGGAAGAGAAAGAGCCAACCAAGGCTAAGAACATATCATCAGCAATGAACGTCTGACCATAAGCCTAACAATTGTTGAAAAGAATAAAGTCAGCAACTTGTTGCACTAATCCAGCATTAATTTATATAGCATTAGTTTGGCAAATTAGAAAAGAATTAGATGCATTGTCAAAATTGAAACACATCAACACATCAAGTCTCTATGGCAACAAGGACAGCATTAAATGCAAATTTATCGTCACAGTGTGTTGATTCCAACATATGCAACTTTCAAAATCCATAGAGTACCTTATAAAGTGTTGAAATCAACACTTGAGTCTGTGTATTGAAGAGGAAAGTAAACCACAGAGTCCAGAATGCCCGGGTTTTAATCATCTTTCCTGGACCTATACTAAGACCGGATGATCTAGTGTCTGCTTCTTTGTGGGTATGCTCCTCTTCGCCTTCTTTTACAATCAATTTCTCTTTCTCACTAGTCTCATCCTCCTGTAAATGGAAATTCAGGATATATGAATACATTTTACGAGATAAGTAGATAAATAGGGACACTCATCACTCTGATAGTACTCATCGAGAGTGAGAAAAGATAATCTTTCATTCACTGAAAGATCTTACCAGTATGTACATTTGTACTTTGAAATACTTCATTTTAGCTGGAATTAATTTTTGCTGAAAAGTCTTTTTGGGTGTTTTGTATAGATTTTATTTTCACTGATTTTTGACAAGTTAAGCGTAAAATATAGAAAAAAAAGAATATTCGCTTGATTTTTTTTCACTGAATCAAAATATCGAAAATTAATTCCAAGGGATAATAAAGTAATAAAGTATATACCAAAATTTAATAATTTGATTTTGAATTTTTTTTTTATAACTTTCAGAGGGGAAAATGGTGTTGAGATGCACTTACTCCAGAAAAATAGACCCTCCTCAAATGTTTATGGCATATTCATAATCATGGAAATACCAATCAAATACTTTCATGTTTGTAGAATCTTGGGCAATGGGTTGATTGATGTCATAGTGATCTTTGTTAGTCTTATTTTTACATTTAATTTCATACATAATGCAGGATCTCTCAGTGAAAGGTTTATTTTACTTCCAGTTGTGTATCATTTGTGAGAAGTTAGACTAAGATTTGACTTGTATACTTACAGACTCTTTGGGAGGGTTTTTGACTAATATGGCGCTGATAATTTGCATAGTGAAGTAGATGGCTCCAAGTAATATGAACACGTATGGTGTCAGGTCAAGTATTGAATCCTGCCAAAAATATCTGTAAAAAAAAAAAACAGACTGTCAGATACATCTGGCATCAAGAAACAATATACATGTATTTCATTCATCCGTAAAACATCATACGTACTTGTTAGAAAGCGTTCATAATGTGCATCATGTTTACATCACATTTGAACAATTTCCTTTGTTTACCTCAAACACGAAGTACAATAGTGTTCAAAATCCTGTCAATGACCACTGAAGATTCACACATAGGTAGATATGATCACCGTATTCTTGCGTTAACCTC